AAATTATCTTTTATGGAATGTGTTTTAAATAAAAATTTAGAATTATGCTATAATCACTATCAACTATAAAAGAAAAAAACATATGAATATGAATCATAAAAGAGATAAATTTTCATTTAAGTCAAAATGTCAGTAATATGTCACAACGTAAGTCACAATTTAACATCTTCAATTGAAATCCTCGAGACGCATCAGCGCGAACACGGTGCAGCATCTATTAGTTCACTTCATAGCTGTTAATCTCAGATTATTTTTGCAACGATCTGCCTACGTGATGAACATGCCAGAATTGCTTTTTCCTGCACACATTTCTTCATATGTGTATGTATAATAAAATTTTTTGCAACTTTTATACAAATATCTTTTTTTTCTATTTATAGAAAATAATCATTTTAACGAGTTGTCACGATCGCGTTCTCCCTTTCAGGTATCGATAATTAATTACACGTTACTCTTTGCTAATTTTAGAGCGGAAACGGGACGTTCGTGACCAACGGGAACAATAGCATTAGCTGGCAGCGCGTGGTCGATCAGGATTCTGTTGTGGAACAATTACCAAAGAACAGTAAGTGTTTTTCAAATTCCTTTCTCTCCTTCTTTTAATTCTTATATCTTCTTGTATTATTCATTAAAAATATAAATACTTTAGGATCCACAAAGTTGTCGTACTTCACAAATTGGAGCGAATGGAGTGTGTGCGATCGACACTGCACGCAGAATCGCGTTCGAAGGTGTCGCGAGAAGAAAAAATGTGGTACCACGATACTTAAGGTGAGCTTGTGAATTTCATTTTATTTCATTGGAAGTATTACATCAATTTATATTCCATTTATTATATTTTATGTAGGAAGAACGAACTTGTCAACACAATAGAAAAAGTAGGTGGAGAAGGTGCAAGCAACATCAACGAAGAGGTCATCGACAAAATGATAAATTTCACGTCATTCAGGTAAGATTTTCACGTATCGTATTTCTAAAAAATGAGTTTAATATGTAAAAGACATTTTTTGTTCTGAAATTAATTATGAATTAATCGATTGATATTAGATGCCTAAAAAAGAAGCTGCACCTAGGCAAGGCAGACAGAGAGGCAAGGACCAATCTGTAGGGTATTACGGAAAGTGGAGTAAATGGTCACCTTGTACGAGATTATGCACTACTCAACGTCATAGGTGAATGTAGCATTCATTAGTTTGTTTACGAAATCATAATAATTTTGATCGATTATAAAAATTCTATATCTCGTAATTTCCAATTTAAATAATGAAAGGTGGTGCAAGAAACCTGGGATTTGCGGACGCGATGTGATAAGGGAAAGTGCTTATTGTTACGTCGAAGGTAGCTTCTGCCAAAGATGGATTCATCGAAAAATTCGTGGGAATCAAGAAGAAGATGGTGAATTAAATTTAAAGTATTCTATTCACTCATTATTCTATTTCATTTTTTGAAAGAATATTCATTATTTCTTTATAATTCACAGATACAGTATTAGACGAGTTCGAGTTGAATCCCAACACGGTGGACAGTTTCATCCCCGAGAAAAATTCTAATATTTGGAAATGTGGCGTCCCGAGTATTCAAAAAACTTCTCGTCTTTCTTACTTTACAAGGATCATCGGTGGACGGCCATCGACTCCGGGAAGTTGGCCATGGCAAGTAGCCGTATTGAACAGATTTCGTGTAAGTTATTACAAAAATTAGGATCGTTCGTCTATTAAATAATAATTTCACGATTAATCGTTGTAATAATTCTTATAGGAAGCTTTCTGCGGAGGTACATTAGTCTCTCCAAGATGGGTACTAACTGCTGCTCACTGCATCAGAAAGAGGCTTTATGTTCGCATTGGTGAACACGATTTGACAGTGAAAGAAGGCACTGAATTGGAATTAAGAGTAACGTTTTATAAATTAATAAAAAATAATATTTTTGGAGAATTTTAATTTTATTTTAATTCTTTTTCCCCCAGGTGGATTCAGTCACGATACATCCGGAATACGATGCGGATACAGTGGACAATGATGTTGCAATGCTTCGTCTTCCGGTCACTTTAACAGCGTCGCCGTCCAGAGGAATTGCTTGCCTTCCGGCGCCTAACCAACCTCTACCTGCCAATCAATTATGCACAATTATCGGCTGGGGAAAGTCGCGAGTCACCGATGACTTCGGGACTGACATTCTTCACGAGGCTCGAGTAAGTTACATTTATGTGTCATTGGACTTAATAATGATCATTAATAACGATTTTGAAAGAACGGAAAATCTAAATTTAATATTTCAAGTCTTTTAATTTAATAAGGATTAAAATCTTTGATTAAAAAATTTTATCTAACTTTTCACTCGATCTTCCATTTCAGATACCTATAGTATCTTCAGAAGCATGTCGAGATGTTTATGTAGACTACAGAATCACCGATAACATGTTTTGCGCCGGATATCGTCGCGGGAAAATGGATTCTTGCGCGGGAGATAGCGGAGGTCCTCTTCTGTGCCAAGATCCTAGAAGACCCAATCGGCCCTGGACCATTTTTGGCATTACCAGTTTTGGCGAAGGATGTGGAAAACGAGGGAAATTTGGAATTTACGCAAGAATGTCGAACTATGTTCGCTGGATCAGCAGAGTGATGAAAGAAACCGATGACTTTAATTAAAACTTTCATAACACTCATGTGCTTGGTTCTAATTATCGTGCTCAGTGCTATTAACTGTTCAGTGATCTTTAAGTTAAGAACAATATCCAGTGTACTTTTAATTAGGTATAAGAACGAGTAATCATTTTGAAACGAGTAATTATTGCCACTTAAAGCGAATGCCACTTATTACTCTTTTCCTTTCTACCGATACGATGTCACATTGTAGATGAAGACATTGTAGATGAGAGACTATTTCACACGACTAGATGATAGAAATGAATCGGATTTATCAAACAGGAATGAATCTTGTCAATTTCAGGAATCGAATACAAAAAATCTTTTCATTTCTAAACTCTTTATTCAATTATACGAAACGTAATGTGAAAAAATCATACGATATACATATTTGTGCAGATTGATTCTGCTACCTTTGGAGCAGTAATCAAAAGGAACGGTTTGAAGATAGGTATAAAAAAAAAGAGAGAGAGAAAGAGAAAATGGAATCATCAAGTGAGAGTTGTGACAAAGGAAATGATGAATCCTTTTATCGTAACCACGATCCAATCGTGGCATGGATCGTGGCGCCATCTTTTACGCTTTGGAAACTGATGGCCGTACGATAAAGCAGGTGCAGAAAACTTCACCACAGTGACAATTAACAAGAGTATCATAAAGAGCTTTTCTGGATTTCGCGATTGGATATATCGATAATATATCATCTGTTTTATCTTTTGTATTATCAGTTTCACAACAACACCTGAATATTCGGCTCTCTGTCTAATTGGAACCGTTTCAATTGAACTTGCACTTGGAGAAATCCATCTCTGGATGCTGTTCCATGAACCTGGAAGGAAAAATTTAAGATTGTTAGATATCTCTACGATATTTATGCTGATTTATGTATGCTCGTGATACTTGATGTCGTACTTTTTGATCACGTCCTGCTTCTTCTGCTCGTCGGACGTTGGCAAACCCAGTTCCTTTTGTCTCTGGTCATACATCATCTTCTCCACGAGGCCTCTGGTTTCACCATCGAGATCGGAAAGCTTGCTCGGCTCTGGGTTCACTTTCTTCGTGCTGATCTCCGGGTCGCAGGTTACCACGTGCGCCCACCATTGCATTTTGTTCACCTGTGAAAACGATTCGAAGATTCTTGCCTTTAGTGATCATAAAATAGAAGTAAGATGGAAGCGTATTGCATTAATATCTGAAAGTTGAAAGTTAATTTGTTTCAAATATTTAAGTTTAATTGGTAATAAAGAAAATTAAAATATGAAATGTGAAATCAGGAAACATTGCACAATAATTTTATAAATTAATCAAAGAGAAACAAGGCAATGAATATAATTGGGTATATAATATAAAATTTATGTTTTAATAAATGTTTTAATAATTTAATTACATCAGAAAGAAATTAACAGATTTATGGTATTAAAAAATATTTATAGTTCAATTTTCTTGGTTCACGTTATTCACAATTAATTATATATATCAAATCTTACATCTATTAAAGTTCAAAATCAACTTTTATATAAAACATAAAATATTATTAAAAAGAAGGAGACTTACAAACCTATCGACTTCAGAAAGAATCAAAACCTTTACCTTTGTTAAATACGCTTTATTAAATGGAATATCTATCAAGATCAATTAAAATATCAATAATGCCACCGAATCGTGTCAATAAAAATATCAAGTGAACAGTTTTCTCGTTAAACGATCACGATTCACCCTTCACCAAACTCTCTATACGTTATTCTGATCATTCATGGTCACGTCAAATCAACGAATTCTTCGCGTATCCGATATCATCCGTCAGAAATTCATCGCTAAAGCGATAGCATCGTTGGAATCCTCGTTTTGACAAGGCCGCGTATCCAGCATCGAGTTGCTTGCTTGCTTGCATCACTTACCTTCTCCAGGTTGAGAAGCAACATTTTTCCATCCTCGATCACCCAGGTGGATTCTTCGACTTTGACTTCGTGTGGAAAATCACCGTCGATGATCGGCGGTTGACCCTTGATGCCACAGGTCAATCGTTTTTTCGTGATCGTCACCGACACGTCCTTGGGCCTGGCTGAGAAGTTCACTTTCAAAGGCACTTTGATCTGGAATTAAAGAACGATTAAAATTATTAAATGTGTTCTTTGATACTAGAAATTTTTTGTTTCCTAAATTTCTAAAATTACCTTTTTACATTCACAATCAATTTTCTCTATTCAATTACATTGAAAAATTATATAAGCAATTTTATATTTTTATAGTTTAAATTGTTAAGTTTAAGTTCATATAATTATCATCTTTTCAAAATCGATTTCTTTTTACTCAAATTTATATCCAAATTTGTTCATTTGAAAAATTAAATTATTAAAATTTAAGAATTTCCTAAATATTAAAAAAATTTCTAAATTCAACAAAATAACTAATTTTCGATTTTTTTTTTATTTTGCAATTATAAGAAATATACGGATATTTTCAGAAAAATTAATATAATTGTAATCAACTGTTTATACAGATTGATGATTCTACAGTTAACAATAAAATTTTCATGCATATAGAATATGATTTATCATAAACATTTTGCAATCAATAAATCTGATAAAAATTTCTTCGCACAATTTGAAAGTAATCTTCTCAATACAAAAAACGATATTCATCGAGTATCTATCATAACAATAGCGATTCATTCGATCGATCGTGGTTCCGCACGATTGCTCTCTTAGTCCTTCTAGAGATTGCGATTTCATTGCATATCATCGTGATCCATTTTGACGGGACCTTGGATTTCGGAAATCTTGCAGTGAAACCTTCGAAATGAACCTTGAGTAATTTAGATCCGCGAAGAGAATCTTTTATAAAAGAGAAAAATAGAAATCAACGCGAAACAAAATCGTTTCTACAATTTAGAAAGAATATTTTAAAATTTAAGGAAATTGAAAAAAAAAAATTAATTTTTGAAATTTCTTTCGCAATCATAATGTAAAAAAATACAATTCAAAAATATAAATTAATTGGAAAGAAATGACAAATAAAATATCACATTAATATAATATAATTATAATATTTGGATTTTAACGAATTAATCATACAATTATAGATATCAGCAATACAAGGACATGTATCAATATTTCAATACTTTTGATCTCGATAATAGTTCAGAGATAAGAAAATTTTCGAATAAATATTGGTCTTGGAAAAGATGGACGGTCATTCGAGTAAGAGAGGACAGCACATTTCGCAACAGAAAGTTCGTTCCTATAATTTCTTTTATTACGGTTCGAATTAGCTCTTTTAGACGATTGCAGCAATGATTATTATCGTTTTATGTACAACGAGGAACTGGTACTAGTCGACGATTCGAACCAAGATTATTAGAACTAGAATTGTATATCGAACTGTATTCTCGATCAGTATTCTGTTAGTTACTTTCATATTGCCTCAAAAATGTTTGATGGAGTTGGTGGAAAATAGAATTAATGAAAGTGTCTAACGTTCGCAAGAAGTATCGTTACGAAAGAAAATTGCTGTGAATGAAATCTGAATATGAAATCAGATGGTTTGTACTTTTACATTCAATCTAATGAGCTGAATTAATTTTAATTTCCATAAGGAATGCATTATTTTGCTCGAAAAAAAAAAGGTAGTTGCATTCTTATATTAATAGTAGTTATTAATATTAATATTAATATTAATAGTAGTTATTAATATTAATAGTAGTTAAAAGGTGAAAAAAGAAAAATTCCTGAAAATCTGTTGTGTTAATATTTCACATTATGCTTTGGCTATATAAATCTTTAAAATCGTTATGAAAGGAATTCATTAAGGCTTAAGCTATAAGCTTCTCACATAAATATTATATAATAACCATTGATTATTTAAATTTCTCAATATTTTTAACATCAAAGTATCAAAGTAAGAAACAATTATGAAATAATTAGCAAAGAAAAAGAAAAAATTCTGAAGATTTAAAGTATCTAGTGCAAATACATTATATTTTTGTCTATTTCAATGTTTCTATTATTTCCAGAGTACCAATAAATAAAACAATTGACAACAAAATTTTCATAAATTAAGCTATTACATTATAAACTAAATATTTTATATTTTACAATATTTAGAATATTTAAATTTTTCAAAATCTTAAACCCATAAATATTAAAATCGACAAAATTCAATTTCATCGATATTCTTTTCTTTGTTTCATATTTTTTTTTTTTTTTTTGAAAAACTTTTTATTCAAAACTTTCAAAATCATAATTACCAAAAATCGGCAAAATGAATATCACCAAAATTTCAAAAATTTTTTCCACCGATATTTCTCTTTTTTATTTCTACTCAGAATTTCTTAAATCTCCTAAAATCTCAAAATAAGAATAAAAAATCAGTTTAATATAAATTAATATTAAAATTCAATTTCCGATATTCTTTCCTTTTTTGCTCATATCATTCTTAAATTATCCATAATCTAAAAAAAATCATAATTGCAAAAAATCGATTCGATCAATATCTTAAATTCCAATTTCATCGATTTACTCCTTTCTTTAATCATGTCCACAAACACAGATATTTATTATTAAACATGTATATTTATAACAGATATATTTCACGATCCATGTGGGACGTGGCCAGCACCAGGAACAATTAAATCCATCAAGTTCTGAAATCCTAGATGACCCATCGTGCGTATCGTGTGTCGCAACACCGATCATCTCAAGAAGAGGGGATGAAAAAAAAGGGAGAGGGGAAAGGATCACGAATGATACGAAGAATTACGTGTCGTGGGATCATCATCGTCGTCATGTTGGATGCGTTCTTGGATTTCCAGCGTGACGACGATGACGACGACCGCGTAAATGTTAAGCGTAGTTGAGCGCACCGGTGCGTGGAAACGGATCATGGCTACCAAGTTAACACGTTAACAAAGTAGAATATTATTACGATGGAACGACAAAGAGTAGAGGGGAAGAGGGTTGTGTCGCTGATCTCTCGGATTATCCTTCATCTCTCGACGCTATGTTAATCAGATGACTATGACACGAAAATTTGGACCAAGATTGGATTGTGTTAATTTTACAATTTTTCGTCACGATTCAACTTTTATCAAAATTGATAAGAAATTTCAAGTTTTTGAGAATCGTGTATCTTTGATTTTAAAACATATAAATATGAAATGATACTATTTACAATAGTTTTTATTGGCATATCTTTTAAAACACGATAATTTTTTTTAAAATTGGATGTAATCATTTGATTTATTCTGAGAAGTTAAAAAGATTAGTTTACTATAAGATAATGTATAAAAGAAATTTTAAAAGGATTGTTATTTTTTTTCAATATTTGTATCTGATTCATTAAAGATTCAGATATAATTTAAGAAATACATTTTATATAGACTTATGTCAATTATATTATACATGATAAAAACTTCATCGAAATTAAAAATAAATCTTTAGAATATGTTTTTTTTTTAAATTTTCATTACAGGCACAGATGAAAAAACTTTTAAAACACGATAATTTTTTCAAGATTTTTTTTTTATATACCATTAATTTCTCTAACTTCTTAAAAAACCAATTCAAGTTGTTAAATCAAATCATTAAATGATCAAGTAAAAAAGTTATCGTGTTTTAAAGGCATCTTGTGCCAATATTTTTTGGAGCTACTGTATGTGAAATTATTTTTGTCTAGATATTTTTTCCAATGTTTATTAATACTTTGCAGATGAACTATGATCACAATTCTGAATAAAATAAACTTTTTTTCATTTTTTATAAAAATAACAAATAAATTTACTTAATAAATTTTTAATTTATAAAATATTCTTTCAAATCAAATTTAAAATATTAAGTTGATTCATATGCTATTGATAGCTTTTTTTTTATTATTTATAAATATATTTATGTTGAAAATAATAAAAGAATAAAAAATAGTTTTTTTTTTCTTGAGAAGATTATTATTTTGGAAGATGAAGTTTGTAATCATAGTAGCAAATATCTATGATTTTTAAAGAATAATCATACGATTATTAATTAATTTTGATATTATATATTTAGTTTATTTTAATATTCATTATTTTATTTAATATATTTAGTTATACTTTAATTTAAAAAAATAATGGAATTTATGATTCATATAGGATTATATCTTTAATCGTCCATCCTTTTTCTTATCAATTGCGATTATCGAAGAGCCCTGGATTTATTTCTCATTTAATACTAATTTATCTCAAATAGTAGAAGAACAGGTTTGGAACAAAAAAATTGCCTGCCATAGAGTAGATCGTTTTATGGAGAAATTAACAAGTGCACGAACAACTTCCGTTTTAAACCTCGTAATAAGCGTCAAGTTACCAAGTTAATCTTAACTTAATCCCTCGCTTGCTCGCAGACCGCAAAAACAAATAATAAAAAAAAAAAAGAAAAAAAAAAGAAAAAAAAAGAAATCGAATAACACACATCTCGTCGTTGTACAAAAGAAGATACACGCGAATTGTAGCGAGGAGAAAAGTGTTTCAAAAGTAAGAACACGAATTTAAACCTTGTCTCCTTTAGAAGTCGGACGACTTTACGAATCGAAAGTAAACGCAGCCTTGGTTCTCTTTGTCAGAGACCAAAGGGATGTACGTGAGCAAATTCACGTTCCCGTCAATTCGAATTAAAAAAAAGAACACTTTGCTCGAACATTCTCAAACTCTATCTCCTAGAAATTCAAACCAATCAACCAGAGAACTTGCACAATCTTTCCAGAAAAACTCGCGTAAAAAGATATCACTATTAATCTTCATATTCATCTTGAACACAATCAAATCTCGATAAAAACTTAATCAATTCAGTTAACCGCAGTAAGTGTACCAACTTTTCAAGACATTATTGTCGATTTTACTGTAGATTTCATATTCTAATAATAATTCGCTAATGCAACATCCTCTCAGACTCATTAAACCCACTCTAATTATAATGCAAGTATAAGAACGGTTTCCCCTTGGTAATTATTTGCTCTTCGCTTATTCAATCGTTTCACGAGGCATCATTAGACTGGAGCCATCGTTTTCACGATTTTCAGTTTGTTGTTGAGGCCATCTTCGCTGTGCTACACTTGCAAAATCTTC